TTGTAATAATAATTAATTTTTTTTTTTCAGTTTTTATTTCAGTTTTTAATTTTTTATATTCTAATTTTTATATTTATAATTTTTTTGTTTTTATATATATATATATATATAGATTTTATTCTTAAATATTTACACGAGTTTTAAATACAATTTGTTTTTATGTATAGCTATTTATAATTATTTTTTTTTATTCATAAATTTTTTATATTTTTATTTTAATAATAGAATATTTTTGTTTGTGTGTGTGTTAAATGCTACAGGAGTTTAAATAGAATATTTTCATTTTATTTTATAATTAATTCTTAATTATTTTCATATAATATTATAAAAAAATTTTTTAAGACTTTTAATTTATAATTTTTTACATAATTTTATAATTTGTTATTTTTTATCAACATTTCTTCTTCATTGTTGTTTTTTTCTTAAATATTCTAAATAATCAATAATAAATTTTCTTTTGCTCTTTGTCCTATTAATTATTTTCAAGTTTAATTTTTGTTTATTACAATTTTCTTAATTATTGATACATGATGTCTAAAAAGTTTTGTAATGTACTGGTAAATATTATGTTTGTAGGAAAAAAAAATCTTTTATTTCAAATGAAAGTATACAAGAGTGTTATGTAAATATACAAAAGATTTGTGGAAATTAGAAACTATAACTGGTTAGCAAAAATTAAGAGACCTATTCTCAAATGATAAATATTATTAAAATAAAACTTGCATTTTTTTAAAATAACATGATGTCGGAATTACAATTTTGCTGCCAATTTGTGCAGTCTGAGATATTAAGCAGCGAATGTAATGTTTCATACATCCATAAATGATCCCATTAAGAGACAAAAATTAAATATTTCAGTTAAATGTTAATGAATAATAAATAATTATTTTAAAATTAATAAGACTTGTGTCTAAATATAAATTAATAATTCTTGGTGAAGAAAAAAACCAGTTCATATAGAGTTTGCCTATCAAATATTTTGTCTATGACCATATAACAATAGGATCTCCTGAAGAGACCAAATGATAAACTATTTTAATTTGATGCTAAATATCAGATAAATTCCAGACTAATATTATATAAGTCTGTAAAATATCTGCAATTTTTAGTAAACGAAATTTTTAGAACTAGATATTATGGAAAACAGATTTCTGTATGTTCTGAAATTTGTTTGAAATTGTAAGTTTGTAATTTTATTTTCATTCATATTCTCATTGTATACTTTTTTTCATACAAAACAAATTGTATGAAAATTCGATACGTACGCCAACGATTTTGGATATGAATCAAATTTGGTCCCAAAACAATTTACAAAATGGAGATGGACCAAAGTAACAGCTGAATATCTATTCAATTAAATTAGATATTGAAAAACGGATAACATATTTTGAAAGATTATCCTCAAAAACTTATGAAAGTATACTTAATTCAGAAATTGCGAAAATGGCGTATAAATCAAAATAGCATTCATCATAACATTTAATACCTCGTTTAATTTTTCATAATTTTGTTTTCGGATTTAATCCCATTATAAATCTTTTATGTTTAAAATGTTAAAGAAATATTTTTAAAAAAAATGGTTATACTTAAATTTTAAAAATTAAGGAAAACATTTTTTTTCCATTTTTAATATTAATTTTTTGTTTAAAATTTTTAATTTTAAAAATAATTGAAAATTTACATGATTAAAAGAGAAACCATAAAACAATAAAAATAATTTAAAATCTATGTATACTTAAAATTTTAAAATATTCACAATAATTAATTTTATTTCTTATTACATAATTATTTTTGTATATGCAAATTTAAATATAAATACAAAATTATTTAGCTTTGGAATTATTTCAATTTTTAAACGAAATCAGGCTACAGCTAATATAAATGACAGTATTTTCTTATTTTCAAATTTTATGCTTTAGCGAGATTGTGAAACAAAATGGGTTTGCAGACTTTGGAATACAAACAAAATAATTATCACCCACATTCTATTATAATTGGTATAAATATTTGGTAGAATTTGGTATATCAGCAATGTCTACCTTTAATTTTATTAGAAGCTCATATTTGTTATTCTTTTCTGTTCTGTAAAATAAAAAAATCCCGATTACCAGTATAAAAATTATTAGAGCAACATTTTTACTGTAACTTTAATTAAATAATTTTTGTTATTACTATATAACTTCGCCAATTTTTCTAATTTTACTGACAAGATAGTGCGTCGCGTGCAAACACTGAGGTGATAGAAAATAACTATATCACGGCACATGAAAAGTTCTACAAAAAGAGAACATGTGATAATTTCGACATCTGCCATGAGGTCAAGATTGATATTGCTCTAATTATCACTACGACTACTAGCATAATATATAGAGGTAATAGTATTATTTCATGCGATATTTGCATTCGATACCACTACCAGAATATATAGGTGAATGATTCGATAAAACGAATTTAAAATGTTATTGAACCAATATAATATTACTGGCATAATATTATTTAAAATATTTCGAAACTTTTATATTTTAAAATAAAATTTATTGAACTTCAGGATTCAGAAACTCAATTTCGTTTCAAAAATCGTAAGGTTTGTATGTATATGCAAGAAAATTGCTATAACAACGATTTCATTCAATTTATCAATTAATAAGTAATTAATTACGTATTTAAAGTACTATTTAGGCTTGTTTGTAAATAATATTATCTTTTATGATTTATGTTCCATAAAAATTCAAATATTAAAATTCTATGTATACAGAGGATTTATTTTTAAAATCTTCATTATTTTCTAATAATATTTCTCATAAGAAAACACTGTCAATATAATATAGCATGCTATCGTGTTCTTTTACAAATTTTGTGTTTTCTTCAAAAAATAACAAAGTAATTATGTAAATGTATTATTATTTAACTGTATACAAGTATATAGGTATATAGGTATTGTGTTTTACATTTACATAAATATTATAATTACAATAATTTCCACCGCGTACGCAATTTAATGTGAGAACGTAATTAATTTCTGTTTTCCTCGATTTTTATACTCTTCATATAAATATTTTCATTATTATCCTTTATGACTTATTTTATTCGACTATATTATAATACATATGCAAATAATGTATACATATATATATATATATATATATATATATATATTTATATCCTTATATATGTAATATACATTTTTTTATTACAAACATTTTATGCCTTATTGTTTATTCGTTTGTTTACCATATTACTCTTTCAAAAAAAAAAAAAACAAAAATTATGATTAATGTTAGGATAAACAAGGACAATAAAAATAATAAGAAAAACAAAATATAAATAGAAATAAAGAAAAACACATAAATTATATTTTGAAAAGGATGAACATTTTTTTCAACAACAAAAATAAGTATTAGTAGCTATTTAAAATTACTATGTAATTAAATGTATATCGTAATATAAGTTATGTACAAATATACATATAAGTATATAAATAATGTGTTTATGTATATACTTAAATAATTAAGTGATTCTAGTTATCCATTGCGTTTAAAAATTTAATTATTATAAAAGTTTTGTTGTTGTCTAACAATTACAAACAAAAAATTCATACAATCTACGGTAAAAATGTAAAATTGTACCATTAAAGGTCCTGTATATGTTTGAATTAATATTTTATGGGCTTTTGTATTACAAAATAACTAATCTAAATCCAAATTATCAAAATAATAGTCCAAAACAACCACAGGAATAAAATAATAGAAAAAAATTGTAAAGGAAATTACAATAAAAATTTAATTTTAATTAATAACTGCGGTAAACTGTTCTATAATTAATTGAATATTTACCGCAGTTATTAATTGAATAACTGATATTGTTTTCATTGTTTTTTTGTGTTATTTAAATTTTTATTATTTTCTTGATAAAATTCGGGGGGTAAATGTAAAAAATGCACTGTATGGATAATAAATTAATTAACAATGTAAAAATATTAGAAAATGGAGGACTAGATATACATAGAATATTAGCGTACTAAAACAAAATTTACAATAGTTTGAATACGTAATGAAATTTATCATTAAATTTTCTAAACAAGCGAATAACTGAAGTTTATTAAGTAAGTTCTTTATATTTGACTACAGTCATATTCAAATTAATTGTATTCTGTCGAATATTTTCTTATTATTTACTTAACTATACCAAAAACCTTATAAGTTTAAGTTTTGGCTTTCATAATGTAATACTCGATTATAACAATTCTAATGTTTAATAGAAAAACTGTTTTTAGTAAAAATTATTTTATGCCAGTTTCAAATGTCCCATTTTTAGCGAATATATAGATCAAGAGCCGAATAAAATTTATACCGTACAAGAAATATAAAACAATTTAATAAAATAAAAGACTAAAGGAATCGAGAAATTTAAACTTGTGTCATATACCAGTCAAACAATAAACATCTTTATTATATGATTCAAGGCAATTAAAGATTCAAATGAACTATGAAGATCATTTAAATTTAATTGAACTGCAGTTTTTGTTGAACCAGGGTGTAAAAAAATTCTATATTTAAGTTTTCATTATATGATTACCGGTCATCACCCAGAGCAAAATTATTCTGGTCAAGATGATGAAGATATTTATTTTGATATGTTTGAAACAGGAGAAATGGCTCCAGATTTAGCTACTAAAAGATGACAGTTTAATTAAAAGTTTAAACGAAAAATCATTGGAAAAATAATAATATTTTTGGTCTGTTGGACAATTAGTGAAAAAGAAGAATATGGATATGATAAAATTTAAACAAATTATTTCAGAGAAAATTTCCGCTTATTATAATAGAATACTATATTTGTGAGGTACTTAATATTTTTTGTATGAGAAATCCGAAATTCTACTCTAGAATGATGTGTGTATTATTTATACATAGTTCTTTTGAAGTATACAATTTTAAAGATTAAATTTTAAGAAAGAGCTATTCCATTTGATCAACAAAAAGGTTTAGTCCATATATAATTCACTTATCAACCATTCTCGAATCATCTACACCACAATAAATGAAAAATATAATTTTGCACAACTAAAATATTTTTAAAATTTAATCATGTGAATTTGAAAAAGAAAACAAAAACCGGAGAGAATAAAAGAATCACGTTTTGAAAAACAATAAATGAAAAATTTTCTCTAAACAACTAATGAATCTATTTATTTTTATTATATGTACACACATATATATGGATGTGTATATGTTATGCTCGTATACTTAATTAAATATTCAAATTGAATGCAAATTTATTAAAAAAAAAAAATAATTTTATCCTTTGTCTTTTCTTCTTTTTATTTTTAATTTTTTTTTAAACCGAAACTGCTGTATAAACAAAATAATATTATTAAAAAATACAAAGAAATTTTTGATAACGAAATTGTCTATAAAACTAAATCTAGTATTTTTTTCTCTAAAAACTTCCTAATTTGACATTCTGTATACACACACATACAATAAAATCATCAAAAATTTATTTTTTTTTTAATTCCCATACAATATAAGGATAAAAAAAATATTAAAAGGATATGCAAAAATTGAATATTTTTATAAACAAAAATACTAGAGCTATTGTTCAAATAAATATTAGCTATTTCGAGAACAAAAATTTTATTCGGCGTTAAAGACTAACGAATTCTAACACATTTTTAAAATTGTCTATGTGTAACCATAGTTAAGTACTGCATTTGTATTAATTTCCTTATACTGAAATTGATTGGTATACAATTATGAAAAATCGAACATGCACATATTACCCATTAAAATTAAATTTTTCTTGACTAATATAACACACAACTGTTGCTTAGATGAAGCATTAAGTACAACGCTAAAAGAACGCAAAATAAATTTTTTTTTAGTCGCAACTAAGCAACTATTAGTTAAAAAGTAACAATCGTCATCATTTACAGGAAAGGGAGGAAAAGAGTATAGATGATGTAAGTTAAATAAAGCGAGGAGATGAAAATGACGAGAACAAATAAAAACATACCGAACTCCAGGCACTGAGAAAGTGAGAAGAATTCTACAAAAAATGATAGGAAATAAATAAACAAATCAATAAAACGAACAAGAATAAAGAATATTACGACAAATTAAAATTATAAATAAAAAGTGTAGATCTAAAAGTACCCTTACTAACAGCAGGATCAAATACCAAAGAACTAGAATTAACACAATGCAACATTCTAATGACCAACTCATTTCTTCCATATAATCAGTAGAATTATAGTGAACATAATATAAGATCTTTGCTCTAGTGGTGGCGGAGTTACGGTCTTCTGGTCCTCACAAGTTGTTCTGGTCCTCGTGTGTTGTAGGGCATTCCGCGCACTCGGGTGAGGGCACACAATAGATCCTTATACGTGGTCTCGCGGTGCACTGTTGCCCCCGTTGTATACATCTACAAATCTACAATACAAGACCTACGATTTCTTAAATTATCCCTAAAAACTAGCTCTACGATTTTCTAATACTACAATTTGTTTCGGTACGGTCTTAATTTATCCGTACATCTTTGAAATTTTGGAAAATTGACAATTTATTAAACACCATACGGTGAACTCTTTAAATAAAAATTATTTTAAATCTCAAGATCCTATTTAATTTTTAGTAAATTAATTGAATTTAATATTTGTAATGTTAGCCTCTTTTAGACCTCAAGATAATTAAATTAATAAAACAATTTGACTGGATTTTATTTATTTAAAATTACCACTAAAGTGTGATAAAAATATTGTAATAACATCGATGTGCACTAAATAAATTTTAGTATCTAAAAATATATTTTTTTTTTCAAAAAAAAAATAAAACAAATCACTGATACCAAAATGTAGAATAGAAGAAAAATAAACAATAAAAACAAAATATGGAAAATATTTTATCATATTAAAAAATAAAATACATATACATATATATAAAAAGGATAAAAAATTTTCACGATTTATGACCAGAATAATGGAATACTTAATGCTTTTGGCGTCTAAATGGTTTATGCAAAAAACAATACACGTACATACTATATTTATATAAAATATTTATTTATTTATTTTTCAAAACAAAAAACAAGGAAAAAACGAAAGGAAATAATTTTAATATTTTATTGTTGTTGTTGTTAGCTAAATTTTTCATAAAAATAAAATTTTTCTTTTTAAAATTCTCTAAATTTATTTTTATTTATTATTCATTATTATTTTCATTGTTTTCCTTTTTTTTTTGTATTTTGTTTTTCATTTTCATATTTTACTTATCTCTTTTCTATGTTGTTTGTTTTTATTCTATTATATTTTATATAATAAACAAATGCTACAGATGCGCCAAAATTTCCATTTCATTTTGTTGAGTATTTACTAACATCGCATTATTATTACCACCATTATTATTACTGATATTATTGCTGTTATTATTATAGAAGTTACTGTTGCTACAACTATTACTATTTCCATTACCATTACCATTTGAATTATTAATATTGTTTAGATTTCTATTATTATTAATATTTGTTTTTAAATTTATAGAAGATGTTGTTTCATTAATACCAATACTATTATTGAAATTTCCAATTATTCCATTAATTCCATTACCGATATTATTGTTAACATTTCCAATAATTCCAATATTATTAGTGTTGTTATTAGTTAATAAAAGTTGTTTTTGTTGTTTTTCGGATTGCTGCATTGTTGCTGATATTGTAACAATTGTTACCAATTCTTTACGACCAATATTATTACTATTATTATCATTATTATTGTTATTATTATTATTATTATTATTGTTATTATTATTATTATTGTTTGTGTTATTATTATTAGTACGAAGTAATGATGTATTTGTGTCATTCGATGAATTTAAATTGATCGAATTTGTACTAGATATTTTATTATTATTATTTTTCAAAATTTTACTAGGATTAAATAATTCATTGGAATTAATTTGGTTATTAGTATTATTACTATTAGTATTATTATTGTTATCATTATTATTATTATTGCTTGTGGCATTTGTTTTATTTTTTATTGTACAATGACTATTTATATTATTGTTACTATGAATATTACTGTTATTATTATCATTACTATTATTATTACAATTTCTATTATTATTGTTACTGATAGAATCTGGATTTTGATTATGTAAAATTGATGTTGTATCATTTTGTTTTATTATTGTTGATTTAAGATTATCATCACGTTTCGTTAATAATTTATTTGATAATTCATTTGCTGTTGCAGTTTGTGTTGAATAATTTTTTCTTGTTGGTGGTGATGGTGAGTCAGTTGATGATTCTGTTCTAGCTGAAATTGGTGTCTCAAATTCCATTATATTGCAATTATTATTATTGTTGCTATTTTTATTATTATTCGTTATTGATAGTAATGAATCTAATTGAGTGCTGTTGTTATTACTTTTATTCTCGTTGCTGATATTTCCACCTAAAGTTGATTCAATACTATCAGTATTACTATCAATAGCTTCACTATGGATTATTGTTGAAGGATTTAATGATAAAGAATTACTATTATTATTGCCATTACTATTATTGTTATTATTACTATTATTATTATTATTATTATTATTATTATTATTATTATTGTTATTATTGTTATTAGAACTATTATTATTGGTACTATTATTATTATTGTTGCTATGAATAGTTTTTATAGAATTTGAATTATCGTTTGGAGTACTATTGGTTATTGCTGTTGTAATATTTCTTGATCGGTAACTTGGTGGTAAACTGTATTCAGAACCAGGACCACCAACACTACTAAATGTTCCAACGTGACCATTAATATTTCCACTGCGTGGATTTGTACTCAAGGGTGTCCTGTAATTAGAAAAACAATTTTTTTTTTCATTTAGTCTTTTCATAAATTTCTTTTGGAAATAATAAAATTATTGGCACCAATGAATAAATCTGAATAATTCATAGCCTGTTTGTTAATTTTTGTTTTGTATAAAAGAAGGAGAATTTTCTCGCAAACAATAATTTTATATAGCGTCGCATTTTAAAAATTTTAATTTGCATAACTTCATGATGAATGTTTTAAAAATGAAATGAAATTTTATGAACTGCAAAAATTTTAAATGTTGAGAAATATTTTAACAGTATTCATTGTTAGGCTGTTAATATTATAATCAAATTTGTACGAATTCTATATTAAATTTCGAAGGATTTCAAAAGGGGCTTTTAAAATAAAAATTAAGAATGACTAATAAACTTTCGATAATAATTAATTTTACAATTAAATTCCTGGTAATATACTTTAAAATCATAATACTTTTAAAAGAAAAACTATATCAGAAAATTATTAATTTTTCACTACAAAGATTAAATTTCATACACAATTCTTTTTATTTTATAATATCATAAAATTAGTTTTCCTATATAAGACACTATTATAAATATATACTCAATATAATAATTACTTAAGTCTTAAGCTCTTTTTAAAGCAAATTATTACTTATTTCCCTTCAAAAATTACTATCATATCTCGTTCATCATTTTCAAAAAAAAAGTTTCTCTTATTATTCAATTTGTATTGTATGTATGTGCGAGAATAACAACAATAAAGTAAATTATATAAAGTAAAGAAAATGAAATAATAACAAGGATAATTACTTATCTCAGATTTGTGTATTTATATATGTACATGTATGTATTATGTGAATATAAAATTAAATTTGAAAAAAATACAAACTTATATCATTAAATTTTCATAAAAACCTCATACCCATTATAGCACAGTAAAGAGAAAATTATTACAAGAGAAAGTTTTTTTTTTTTTACATAATATCCTTTTTATAATATTTATGCATTTGTATTATATAGTCATATACATTATATTCTATACAGGGTTATAAAATGTTTAATGAATTAAATTAAAGCTTAAGAAGCTGGGCAAAATTCTGTAAAAAGTATTTTGAAAGTTCTAAAAAATTTCACTAGAAATTGTCGGGCCATAAAAGTAAAACAATTAAAAACGCTGGAATATTAGAATTTTACTAAAATTCGAACCCTTAAATATTGCCGAAAAAACATGTAAAACCAAATTATCCTCTATTCTTTATTTTAAGTCCTCTAATAGTTCATTCAAAATCTGTTTGTTTGAGGCTCCTATCTTTCTTGGAACGGCAGTTATAAGGAAAAAAATTTGAAATTCCTGTAGCTCGGAAAAGATTCCGATTTAACACTATGTTCCGAACAAAAATTTTACTCATTTTCGACCCTCTATCCGATGGTATATGGCTCTAACATTGTTTATTCTGAATGACTCTGTATAATATGCATAAATTCAAGTTTATTAAAAAGTAAGAGAAAAAAAAAAAACGAAATGAAAATCTTTTGAAGCGATAATTTTTCAAGAAGTCCTTTAAAGTTATTACATTGAGTTTTGCAAGTATTTAAGTATGTAAATTTTTTTTTTTTACATTTTCTATACTCTTTTCTGTGCCTTTACTATCCTTGAAGTACAAAATTTATTTATAAGACTTTATAACTTATTTAATATTTCGTATGTATGTATAAAATATTGTAATATACATGCACGTTATAAAATAATATAGACTTGTACGTAAACTAATGTATTCATAATTTGCATTATAAATGTAAAGCGGCACAAAAAAAAAATTTCCTTTTTTTTTATTTTATTTTGTTTTTCTGCAAAACTTTCTTAAATTTAAGTGGTTCTTTTTTCTATTTTAGATTTAAAAATGTAAAAAATGCGTAATCCTTAGACATCTTGTTAAAATTGTATTTACATAGCATAAATATTATACAAAGTTTCAACATTTATATGTGTATTATATAATATGTATGTACATATAGAGAAAAATATTATAATATGTAACAGGGGTGATTTAACTGTAGCCAAATGGCTACACTCTAGGCACTCTAGTTTCCGTTTTTAATTTTTGTTTTAATTGTATTTCTAAATGTCTCGTAAATTTTTTAAAATAAAAATGTGGCTGATATATGAGTAATTCATTAAAAATTATACGGGAACGAATAAAAACCGCCCCATAATTGTCTGTAATCGACTAAGTTCAAGTCGATTTTGAATTTATAAAATTTCATTGCAACGAAGAGTTGATGTCATACAAACAATTTGTATCACTTCTGCTACAAATATTTTTTTTAATATTTAATTTTTAATATAAATATTTCATTAAACCTCGCGAAAAATCTCAAAATTTAAAACATTGTTCAGATTTTTAAAGACTTTGGCCACCCCTGCATACTTGCATGAATTTATTAAAAATGAATGTTTTCTTATAAAATTCTTATTTATATAAGTATAATATCTAATGTCAAATTTTTCTACCACAAAATATTATACACATACATATAAGGTTTAGGATTCTATTTTAGTTTTTAAAAAAATTAATATTTGTATATTTATAAAACAACCTTGGAATTGATTAAAAATCAATAATTAATCTTTAACTAAATTTTAGTTTTGAACCTCTTTATAATAATAATTTCGTAAATCATATGAAGGCTACAGAGCTTGCATAATTAAATTGGTTAATAATAGTAAAAAATTTATCATAAAGTTGATTAAAAATTCATAAAATTGAGATTAAGATTAATGGAAAATAATGATGTAGAATTTTAAAAAAATTTTTATATGAGTTCTGCGTCATAGTTTTGTTTCAAATTTCTAATTTTATATTAGGCCTTATTTTTAATTTTATCAGTTTTACATTCGTTGTAATTTTAGATATAAGTTTATTGAATATCAAAATATGAAAAAGTTCTATGGAAGAAGAATTAGTTTTTCTAATTAATATAATTTATAATATTGATTTTGGAAATTTTTTATAAGCAAAAATCAAAAACCGAATTACTTTTCAAATAAATTTAAATAATAAAAGGTTGTAGCTGTTTCTAACACCACAATAAATTACTTAATAGGGGCCAAATGAAAAAAGAGCCACAATAACAAAAATTTTCCATAATATACATACATTCTAAGTTAATGGAGAGCCTGAATTTGAAAAAAAATATTCAAAATTACAAAATTGGTTAGAATTCTGACCATTTATAAATAATAAATTACTCAAATGAGTTTGGTCATTCTGCTCATAATGAATATTAAGTGAAATGCTATTTTCAAAATGAATTCTCTTAAGCACCTATATATAAATTACATTAACACATAAACACTAATACTCGTCTTGTTTTATTAGATATAGTCTTCTTAAAATATATTTACTTTATTTTAAATTTAATTAAAATTTCATTAAATACCATTTCATTAAATTTGTCATAACAAATTATTTTTGTACTCTTAATATATGAAACTATACATAAATAGAAGATTACAAGAGCTCAAATCACAGAAGAATGTTTGTTATGATGTATAAAATAAGATTATTTTACTCATATTTCAATTTTTAGCCCTCAAAATAAATAAAAAGAACATTTTCCCCCATTTTAACACTGCATTATTATCGTTCTATTGTACATTAGAAATTTATTGTTTAAATGCTAAAAATAATGAGGTTTAATAATATTTTTAAAATGTATTGAGTGTGTAAAATATTATTAACAAAGAATATACAAAATGCAATAGTAAAAATATTATAAAATAAAAGACTTGTTGTATACACTAACGTATTGAGTTTATATAACAAATTTCAATATGAATTTATATAAAAATTTCGTATAACAAAAATAATGAAGGGTGATTTTAATTTCTTCTTGTAGATGCATGTAATATGAAAATACAAAAAAAGGAATCTTCACTTTTAACACTACATCATGATAAATTAATGCTCTTTAACACAAATCAGTTTTTGAGATTTCCTTATATCTACATACGTGAATATCTACACATTTCCCCCTATATACTTAATTTTCTATAGAGAGAAAAATTTATATTGATGCTCTAATTCTTAACACTATACATTTTATAATAATTTATATAATAAGAATCAAATTTGTATTTTTGTGTCCTTGCATAAATGTAGAGATCATAAAATTTATAGACTGCGAATATAAGATTTAATTTATGCTTTTGTTATAAGAAAATGTAGAATATTATGGTCAACATGTAAATTGTTGTTGGTATACTTGCATATGTACACTCACATCTCTAATCTGCTTATAAGTGATTTGAATTTGAAATTAGTATATGGCATAGTTTGTACCTATATAGTTCTTATTTACTCTCAATAATTTTTTTTAATTCGTGCACATGAATTGTAATTATGATCTTTATTTTTAGAAATCAAAAAACACGTACAAATTATTAGTTGACTTGTTAATAATACTTGAATAAAATTTTATAGCCTGGTACACAATAATTATTGAATAGTCTCAAGATTATTTAAATTTTTATATTCATTAAACAAATTGTCAACTAATCAAAATAATGGACCATTAAAAATATTTAAATTAATTTAATAATTTATTGTAAGTGTAAGGGTAAAAGTGCTTTAAAACATAACTAACATCATAGAATTTGTATCAAAATTAATATCATATAACAATGTGTAATAATTTTACTGATCCCATCAGTATACTATACGCACAGTGAATTTTATCGGGATATAATTGTACCAGATAACAGAGTTTTAAATCTAATGATCAAAATATGTCTTCTGAGAAATTATCGATAGAGAACCATCATTTTCTTCAATTAGATCTTATAATTGTTTGAGAAATTTTAATATTTGAGGACTCCTTGACTTACAAAACGCTAACACTACAATACATAAAAATGCGAATAAATTACAATAACAAATATTTGGATTCCAGCTTCAATTTGATTCAAATGTACAGCGGCCTGAGACATTTGTTATATGTGATTATGATTGTTC